ACGAACCGATGAACCTGATCCTCCATCTTAGATACAATAGTGGGAGCATACCTGGCCAATGAATCAAACTGAAGACTGTACTCCCGAACACTCATGTTACCTTGTCAAAGGGTCAAGAACCTATCAACTCTGGCCCGCCTAAGCTCGGGTGGCAGATAATGACGAAAAAAGCTTCTGTAAACTCCTGCCATACTGCTGGGGGGGGGGGCATCCTCACCTCTAGACAATTCCCAAGACTCGTACCAATTAACTGCAACATCTCGGAGTCTATAGGAAGCTAGCTCAATTGACTCAGTCGCAGTGGCCTTCATTACCCTTAACGTCCTCTGAACTCTATCAATAAATACCTGAGGGTCCTCATTCGGATCTGCCCCAGTGAATACCGGAGGGTCTAAATTAATAAAGTCACGAACCCTGGCACTGACGGACCTATCTGCATGACCAATACCTATTTCCTGACGCTGAGCCTGCGCGGCTACTGATCAGGTTAATAGCTGAATAGAATCTCTCATCTCCTGACCCGGTGCATCCGGCTGAGGTGCTGAATGAACAGGGGCGAGCTCTGGAGCTGGTGCCCCTCGGAGCTCTTCTGGAAAAGGCGGGGTATGTGAAGTCTGAGATGGAACCTTACCATGAGACTCTCCCCGAGCCCTGGTAACTCGTGGAGCTCGACTAGTACTCTCACCAGCCACAGACATTCCCTTCTGGGCGGTCGTACTCTTTGGAGGCATCGCTGAAATATAACATATCTTTAGGAACAAGAATTCTTGTATCGCACGATCTGAGATAAAAAGAGAGTATAACATCATATATGTCCTGTAGCCTCCTGTCTATAAGTGTGGTGCACAACACAATCATAAACAAGACTCTACTAGACACAGTCTGTAGACAACGCTAGGACATAACTGCTCTGATACCACTTTTGTCATGACCCAAACTGATAGGCTGCGACGGGTGTCCCAGTCCTACCTGTCAAACACCCTTAACATGCGTCTAAGATATAAACCTGAATAACATCTGCTGAATTACGAGAATAATGTACATGAAGGAAATCTGCCCAAAAAGGCATACATACATATACGTGCAACACACGTAGGGCGAGCCAACAAGGCTGCTATAGACAACTATACATCTCAAAATTAGAAGCCGGGAAGGCCACATACTATCCAACTAGACATACTGTCTACAGACCTCTAATGGAAACATAACTGTACAAAGACGGGACTAAGTCACGTCATACATACATACATATATATATATATATATGCATGCCAACTCTCGCTGATCAGGGATCCTACTGTCAGCTTGCCTACTTGCACCTGCAGGCATGAAATGCAGGCCCCGTGAAGTAGGGCGTCAATACGAAAAATGTACTGAGTATGTAAGGCATGAAAATTAGTACATAAAAGACATAGATGAAACGTGGGATAAAGAAACACATCTTTAAATCTGAATAACTTTGTAAATTCTGAAACATTTATAATGTCATGCACGTGCGTATAAATTTTGTGTCATGCATCGGTATGGGTGTACATATTATCATCAAGCCACTGAGGGCATCCCATCATATCGTCTCGGCCACTGTGGCAACATCATCAACATATACCAGCTGATCAGGTGGTCGTGCGTATATAACGCCGTGACCTTTTCCCATATCCCACATACATATATTTACATATATACGCGTATATACCGCCATCTGGTCATGGGTTAATGCGCATGTATAAATGGGTGAAATGCATGAAAAATACGTAAAAATCTCAATATTCCTTCTGGATAAACTTTTTCAACTGCGTATTATTCTGAGACCCATGAACAGAAGATAATAATAATTCACATGGGGAATCAAGAATATAGACACCCCTAGTATTTCTATGAATAGAGTAATTTGTGGAAACTGTGCGTTTGCTCGTTTCTTCAGTATAATTTGGACCATGCCAAAAGAAAGAAGGGATGGTCTTAACATACCTAGAGTAGGGAAAACTACGTATAATGTTCTGTTGGAAACCTTCGTGGATTGAACTTAGAACCCCAAAAAAATCGGATTAAGCTTCTGCTTTTTAAAATTCTTGAACGAAATTTGTTCCTGCTTCTTTAAAATTTATGAACGAAATTTGTTCCTGCTTCTTTGAAATTTATGAACAAAATTTTGCTTGGATTCTTTGAAATTTTGGAATGAAATATCTTCTGACCCTATGAAGCATTTTTTTGGAACGAAACTTAACTTCTGCTCCTCACGTTTCTTTGAACTAAGATTGTTATATCAATAATGATTCATAGGATGTTCTGATCCCTCAAATGAGATAAGACTTAGAAGTCTTATCTTGGTTAAATTAAGTTTTATTTTAATCCTTAGGTACACCTACTCGTAAATTACTATGAGTCACTTTCTTGATTAGTGGCCTTGTACCACGTTTTTGGAAGGGAGAAAGGGTTAATCTTATCCATTTATTTTATTAATTAACTAGGTAATATTTCGTTACCCGATAATTAATCAATTACTCGTATAATTAAGAATTATCTCAGATTACTTAAAATTTTATTTATTTTTAATATACTTTATACATCCTACTACCGTGGTTATATTGTACCTTCCATGGTACTAGTCCATAATTATCGAGTATTATCGCTCGACCCGTCTTTTTAATCCCAAATCGGCCACCTTCAATGAAACTCGTTTTCTTTATATCGTGTACCCTTTATCCTTCATGATACTTATTTATCGCTTGTTATATATAGCGTAAATACGTTAACCTCAAGATAATCTCATCCCCGATTCTATGTCAATTAACTGAAGACGAAATTTTAACGTACGAAAATGCGAGATGTAACAGTTGCCACCAGCCTCCATTGACTAGGCAGTGCAGGCCTTCACTCAAGGCTTGAACGGACGAAGCTCGGTAGCTTCGAAGCAGCTGAAGCAGAACTTAGTTGAATATCCCGCTGTGACTTGGTCGGATGTCCACAACTGATATCAATCAAAGATCATGGTCGAGGACGATCAAGTAGGATCGGGCTCGGTATATCCCAGCAGGCTTCCGGCAAAGGAGCCACGGCCAAACAAAGAAAGAAACAACCCATACACTGAAGATAAAAGAAACGCCCCAAGGCGCAACATACCCCGAAATGACCGAAGGATGCATCGAGGTCAGAATCCTCAGGGACTCGTGTGCAGAGCCGGATTCGACAGGCACATAGGGCCGACGGAGGCACCCCGCTTGTCGTAATACAACTTCAACGTCGACGTTTCAGACATCGTATCTGCCATCGGTAAAATCAGAGACACCAGATGGCCAAGGCCTGTTCAATAAGATCCTTCGTTAAGGAACCATAACTTAGTGTGCGAATTTCAAGGCACACACGGTCACAGGACCGAAGTTTGCCTACAGCTCCGGGAAAAAGTATCCCGACTACTCAGCAAAGGGCACATCCGAGAATTCCTTAGCGACCGAGCCAAAAACAAGTTCCGGGAAAGAGAGGCGACCCGGAAAAATGAAACAGATGCGTCGCAACATTATGTTTGCTAAAATGAAGCAACTTTGATCTTACTAACAGAACATGGTTAAAATCTAGCGGTAACTACACATCCCACTTATGTGTCACAATTGAAAACCCAGCAGTAAAAGCAAAACCTGTTCCCCCTCGAATTCCACGACGGCCATGACGTATTGACGTTAGAAGAAAAGCTTTCATGATAAAGAACAAGACTAAATTGAAACTTCTATTTCGTTGAACGGGTCGAATGAAGACTATGATGGGTTCAGTTTAATTGAATACTATGTGTATGGATGAAGAATGAAGATGAGACGAAAGGAAAGTTCGATGTCACCATTGGCGGTTACTGCAATTGAAAAACTCTTAGATGGAAAATCAGGAAGAAGACACTGAACTTGTATCTGATATGGGATAAGTATTTATCATTCAAAAGTTTCATGGTGCTTCTCTGGGTTTCTTGCTACGTTATTTGGGTGAGATTGTGAACTGATTTTGCATGCAATCTACTTTCTTTCCTTAAATTTTTTTCATTAAGTTATTAATTTCCCTTAAAAATCCCATAGTTATTGAAAAAAAGACATAGAAATAGAGATTCTATCAAAGCAGTCCTAATGCCTATTAACCCAAGGCCATAACATCATTATTAAGTCATTGCCTTTTTTCAAAAAAAAAAAAAAAATCACTTAATATAGTGTGGATATGTACTATGCTATGCTACTACAAGATGGACTTTTTGCAAAGTGCTCCCAAAAACAAGGACTTCGTATATTCATAATTGGGTTTTAAATAAAAATTTCTAGTTTACTGCTTGACCATCTATAATTTTATATATTAAACAAAGGCTATTATCCTTGTCTATTGAGTTCTTATATTTTATCTCATTAATCAGGAATCGTTCTATATATTTTTCTTGTTACTTCTTATTTTTTGACGAGTATTCGTCCATAATTGCAAGAGAAATCTTGCAAATTTTGGATAAGAGGGAGAGTTGTTACTATGCATCGCTCAAATTTCAAACATGAAGGCTGAAATAGAGAAGTTGCAAGACAAAAAGAAAAGAATCGGTATCTAGTTGAATAACTTCAAGACTAGGAGGAAAACATGATTTAGTTTCTTATTATATCAGTATCAAGTTGAATAACTTCAAGACTAGGAGTTTAATTTTTAACGGTGACACCTTAGTAGCATCGGTAGTCAAAGTTAGATTTTAACCATGTTCCATTAGTAACACCAAATATGCTTGGACTAAAGATGTCCAGAGCAATATATAAAGGACAAAAATAGACATACTTCCGAATAAAGGGACAGTGTTCGCTAAAAGGCTCAAATAGTGAACACTGGAGGATCATTAGTTAATTATTCCGACCTTTATCCAGTTGCCCCTGAAACACAAACAACAAAACCTCTTCTTCGGTCAATGGATCTTCTTCAACCTCCTTGTAGCGCTTGCACTTCCCCTCTTCTCCGTCGACTATCTTCTCTCAATTCCGTCAACTTCTCTTTGAATTCCATCAAATCCGCCGCAAACTACTCCGAAATTTCAAACTCCTGTCGCCGGCCAAAATGGTAGCAGCTATTCTCCCTCAGTTCCCACACATAAAGTTACCGTTCTCGACCGCCAACGTGGCGTGGTCCACGAATTCCTCGTTCCCGAGGTACTAATTCCAAATACTTTTTCCTGCTAAATTCGTGCGTTATATTTAAAATTGTTATTTGAAGAGTTGAATTGGAATGCAGGACCAATATATATTGCATACAACAGAGGCTCAGAACATTGCCCTCCCATTCGCTTGCAGGCATGGTATTGGTTCATATCCAATAATTTACAATAGCATTTTTCCCCCCTTATTTATATGTTAGTCTATTTCTTCTTGCATATTTAAGCTGCTATTTTATACTACTTGAACTACTAACAGACTATGAGTATTGGAATGATTTGAGTTAACTGAAGGTTTAATGGTTTTTAAAAATTGGGGTTGGGCATTTGGCAGTTAAGTTTTGGCTTGTTATAGTCATCTTACCTTTTGGTAGGAAAGCTTTTGTGGGATTATAGATCTCCACCAAATTTTACACAAAGTTTTGACTTTGTCAGGATCTTTCCATGCTTAAACCTATTAATGAAGCTGTTATCTCTCTCTCTGCTAACTTTTAAAGGAGCGGGCTTGATTTTCACTAAGGAGTACTACCATGCACTTTGTTTGTGGTTTGTTTTTGATGGATTATTATGAGCGGAACCAATCCCAATATCAAAATCACATGTAATCTAGACAACTAGTATAAACGGAATTTCACGGGTTACCTCTTGAAGCGTGAACACTGTTCTTCAGTCACGTGAGCCTTCAATTTCACATCGTCTCGTTGAAATCTCCACCACCCGCACGATCACGATCTCCGAACGTTCCACGGTCTTCTACTGTGTTAACCAAAAAATTTCTGAAAATAGTAATTTCGTGTGAGCAAATTTTTCTAGGAAAATATGGCTGAAATTCGGCCACCATCTCTCTCTTCTCTAGGGGGAAAACCTTATGTATTTATAGCATAAGTTTTAAGGGTTAAAACACTTTTACAAAACCTGTTAGGTTTTCCTTTACACCAGAAAAAAGATTCCTTTATTTCCTATTATTTAGGCACAACAGGGACCACTGAATTTAATTAACAAGGCTTCCAATTATGGAATTAATTTATACTTTTCGAAATTAATATCCACCATAATTGGTTACGAATTATTCCACTAAAAATCCGTAATTGCACTCCTTATTCCATTTCGATATTCATCCATTTAATCTTATTTAACTCCCCATGTTAAGATTCAGATACTAATCAATTAAATTAAATGACTGACGATTTTAATTTATTGATTAATTCCTTTAGACTTTTGCTTAATTTATTTCATGTGTTGGATACAAAATCTACTGGCCGGGTTTACACATGAAAACTTATAAGCTTTCATAAAGGTGTATCATCAATCTCTAAACCCAGACGTTGATTTCATCAACTAACTATTACTTTGCCAGTGTACATTATTATTGTCCAATTTACCAAGTATATTAACCCACGAAAGAATTTTGCATTTTAATAAATCAAAACAATAATAATATATACAACTAATAATAATAATTATATCAAGATTAAGAGTATAAGTACATTTAATGGCTAGAGAGTTTATTTTATTAAGTCAATATAAAATACTTATCTTTACTTGGTCCGTTCAATACATACAAAATGTTCTAGCACAAGAAGTTGGAATTAAACCATTTCCTAATCAAGATAAATTATATTTAATCTTGTGCTACAATTATTCCTGATGGTTTGTCCAATTCCATCTTTAGATTGTGAACTCAATCTTTATACTTATAAGAACTGATGATTTAATCTTCCGTGTATAAGCTAATCTCTATACACTAAATCATCTACTATATAAGCAAAGGACACGGGCTAATATATGATCTATTTAAAACTTTATTAAAACTGAATAAACAATTATTTCATAATAAATACTATATCTAAACCAAACCCATGGTTAATAGTATATATCCCAACAATCTCCCACTTAGACTTTTAACCATGACAATTATTAGAATATACTATATCCTAATGCATGGTTAATAGTATATGCCCCAACAATCTCCGACTTAGACTCATAACCATGCATCTACAACTTTCCCAGGAATTCTTTTTCATGACTATTAAAAGTCTTCACCAAATAAGGTTTTGTTAAAGAATCTTGCCAAGTTATTTTCTGATGCAATCTTTGACAAGTAATGCTTTGTCGTAACTATCTAGTTTGGTATTAAACTCTTCACGGATCCTGTTACCGAAACTATCCCAAGGGTGTACACCGAACTATGATTTTCTTTAACATTCTCCCACTTCGATGAAGTACTACTAATATTACCTGCATTACCTTACGACATTCAAATATTAGTGATTTCTTACTATAGTGTTCATTGTTCAAACATCACTCCCACTCGCAAATTATGTCTATTAACGTTCTCCCACCACTTAAATATAATGGAACGTCAATTCCGACATGTGAGTTTTGATGTTCTTGAACATATAGTTAATTCTTTGCCCAGTTCCTGTAAAAACAGTTTACTTCTAGGAACATGTTTTATTAAACAGTCCTTATCTAGAAAAATGCATTTGCTTTAACAATTGCCTTATTTCCTTTAGGACAATAAAAAACTCCATTCGTTTTCTTGGATATTCAATAAACATGCACCTGTACATTCTTAGTTCCAACTTACATATCTGTTTTCCCTTTCAGCACATATGTGGGACAATCCTATATCTGAACATGCCACAGACTGAGCTTACATTTAGTCCTCAGAATGTAATTTGCAGTTTCTAGGAAATATTCCAAAAATAAATAAGGCAAATCTGAATAACACGTCATTAATCTATCCATGTCCAAAAGAGACTTATTTCTTCTTTCTACCACACAACTCTATTATGGAGTTTACGGTGTAGTCAATTGAGATGTAATCCCTTATTCTGATAAGTAACAAAAGAACTCTTTAGAGGGGTGCTCGCCACTACAATCAAATTGCAGTAACTTAATATATTTCCTTGGTGCTTCTTCGTTTCAAGTCTTAAAAACCTTGAATTACTTAATTCATTAAGACTTACGGTGATCAAATAAATATATTAATATTTTGAGTAAAGAACGTCACAAAAATATTCAAAACTATCTCTTACCAGTATGTTCATTTAACCATACAAATCAGAAGAGATTCATTCTAGCTTGTCATTAGCTTTATTCCTTTTGAAAGGAAACATCCTTTAGTTAAATTTCCTTCCAAACATGATCCACAAGTTGGTAGTGCCTCTACTTTCAGTGAACATTAAGGTCTATCCTTGACCAACTTGAAATCCTATCCAGATTAATATGACTTAGACAAAAGTGCACAAATAAGTTTTACTCAATCTTGAAGAACATATTCTCTTGTGAGGTAGACTAATATTGTTCTGTTCAGGAGAGACATTAATATACAATAATAAGGTCATGCATTCATGTACCACAAGAGCTGAAATGTTTATAAAGCTCAATAACTCAAGAGTTATTCGAATAATAAACAAATATCCATCTCTTATTTTGCCCAGAAATCGAAATTAAATTCCTTCTAACAAAAGGTGCATATATTGCATCCTTTAAATTAATGTCTTATCACTAAAAGAAAATTTTAACAAGTAATACGACAAATTGCATAAAGTCATTGTGGAGTTGAGATAAAAATATTAAATAGATCATAATAAGTCAAAACAAAGATTCAGACTGCATTCAATATTTATATACATACATGCATTTCGAATAATAAATTTCGACGGGAAAAGAATTATTCATGCAAGTATATTATATAATGCAAGAATTATACAATCCAAAAATAGATAAAACCAACTCAGATGGATAGTATACTATTATTTTCAGTCAATTGTATATAACTATTTAATACGAAAATTTTAAACACACTACACATATATGTATTCATGCATCTTGAATAGCAATTTCGATGGAAAAAGAACTATGTCATGCAACATACATATGTAATGCCAGATTATTCACTCAAATAAATTAAAACAGACCCAACTCAGATGTAGAGTATATTGTTAATTTAAGTCAAGTGAGCATCATAATTAATAGCTCTAGTTCCTGTGACGACCCAAAGGGTCATCACCTGCTTTTTATTAAATTCTATCACTTTGAGACCTTGAAAACCTCATTTAGAGTCGCCTCGATTTGCGTGCGCGTAGCTGGAAAGCATAAATATGAAATTCTATGAAAATTGCTAAGTTTTGATGTTAAAATGAATAAATTTGACCTTGGTTAACGTTTTGGGTAAACGGACCCGGACCCGTGATTTGGCGGTCCCGGAGGGTCCGTAGGAAAATATGGGACTTGGGTGTATTCCCGGATCGAATTCCGAGGTCCCAAGCCCGAGAAATGAATTTTTGAAAGATATTATTTTCTGAAATTGTTTAAGAAAATTGGAAATGAAATTTGATTAAAACATGTTAGTATCGGGCCCGTATTTTGGTTCTGGCGCCCGGTACAGGTCTTATGTATGATTAAAGATGTTTCTGTGAAATTTGGTGAAAAACGAACGTCGTTTGACGTGGTTCAGACCTAAATTGGAAAATTTGATGTTTTATGAAGTTTGAAAGAATTCATGGATTTTGAGGTTTAATCCGATGTTTATGATGTTATTTTGGCGATTTGATCGCATGAATAAGTCCGTAGGATATTTTTGAGGTTGTGTGTATATTTGGTTTGGAGCCCCGAGGGCTCGGGTGAGGTTTGGATAGGCCACGAGTTGCATTTTTGGACTTAAAATTTTCTGGTATTAACTGACCTGCAGGCTTCGCATTTGCGAAGCCAGGCTCACAATTGCGAGCCTGCAAGTGCGACAAACCACTCGCAAATGCGAAGGAGGGGGCTGGCAGCCTGAGTCGCAAATGCGACCTCACCATCGCAAAAGCGAATTCGCAATTGCGGCCAGACTCTCGCAAATGCGAAAGTCAAGGATTCTGTCAGTGTTCGCAAATGCGAACTATATCTTCGCAATTCCCACATCAACAGGTCGGGGTTCGCAATTGCGAACCCCTGTTCGCATTTCCCATAACTGAGACCTGCAATTTTTACACTTAAACGATTTTGAACCCCATTTTTCATATTTTCTCAAACCCAAACACACTTAGGCGATTTTTCAAGAACAAGTCTTCTTCCAAACCAATTGTAAGTTAGTTTTTACTCATTTCTTTCAATCATTGACATCTTTTAACATGATTTCAACCTAAAATCAA